AGTTCTGACCAGGCTCTAGGGCAGTCCAGTGGCTATGTTTTCTCCAATGACCACATATGGCTGCTGAAAAGACCCTGGTCTGAGCACAAGGTCTACCCCAGTGTACTTTGATGGTAGAAATGTAGACAGGACACTCTGGGTAAAAGCTACCTCTAGGATGAGCTTAGTCTCTTTATCTTTACTACCCCATCATGCACTCCTTTCACTTTTTGGGTAGAATAAAGTTCAGATTTAAACCCATCAAGGTGTCATCAGAGCTCAATTTGGCTTCTTGACTAGTTTCCTGAGGCTCTCCATCTATTCCAGCTTACTTTTAAGGATTTTAAAGTTAGTGTTTATTTACAGCATGTGATGAGGGGCTTCATAGAGTTATTTCATAGAAGTGTATCAAGTCTTTTTTGTACTCACCCTCCATTCTCCTGCTAGTCCACTGTTGCATCAGGCTCACTTCTATCTTCATGCCATATTTTAGTTATTTTTTCATTTCCATATAAGCTATAGGGTCCACAAATGAGAGGAAACATGATGTCTGTTGAGCCTGACCCTTTAATTAATTAACAGTAGGCTCTTAGCTCCATCCATTTTCCTAAAAGTGACATAATTTTGCCCTTCATTACGTATAAATAAATTTCAATTGTTTTTTTACTTTTTCCAGGCATTTGTTAACAGACACCTGGCTGGTTCCAAAACTCTGCTCTAAATACTGCGTGATAGTGTCTCTATGCATTTAACTGAGACTCCTTCAGGTTTGTATACCCAGAAGTGGTACATGTGAATCAAGTGGTGATTTTTATTTTCAGTTTTTTGAGGAATCTCTACATGGATTCTCATAGTGATTGAATCACAACACTTTGTTTACTGTATTGTAACTTAGAATCTAGAATGATGACACCTCTGACATTGTCCCTTTTACTCAGAATTGCTTTGAATATTTGATGTCTTTTGTGCTTCCATATAAATTTTAGAATTAGTTTGTCTTTCTGTGAGGAATGGTATTGGCATTTTGATGTGGATTGTGTTGAATCTGTACACTGTGTTTTATAATATAGAAATGTTCACAGTATTAATTCTGCTCATCTGTGAGCATGGAAAGTATTTCTGTCTTCTAGTGTCTCCTTCAATTTAAAAGTTTCAACTTAAAAATTTTTTGTTTTTAGAGTTCTTTTATTTTTTTGTAAGTTAATTCCAAAACATTGAATTAATTATTTTTAAACAGTTGAGAATGAGTTTTTTTAAAACTATGTTATCCATGTGTTCACTATGGTAAATAGTGATACAGTGCATAGAAAAGTTACTGTTTCTTACCTTGATTCATAACCTGACACTTTTGTGAAAGTGTTCATTAGTTCTTAGCGTTTCCTTGAGGAATCTCCAAAGTCACTTATGTAGAAAATCATATCATCAGCAAATTCTGATGCTTTGACTTTTTCCTTTTTATTTGTATCCATTTTTTTTTTTACCTCTTTTCTTGTTATATTGACTAGCTAAGATTCAAGCTATTTATCAAGTAAGAGTGAAGAATATAGACACCCTTGTCTCTGCTGGCGTTAGTGATAATGTGTTGCTCCATGCAGGACAGTGTTGGCTGTAGTTTAGAACAGAGCTTTCATTATGTGGATTTGCTCCTTCTGTTACTGCTTTCTTCTGGGCAGGTATCATGAAGGGGTGACTGACTTTGTCAAAGTGCTTTTCTGACTCAGATATTGTCATGTCATTTCTGTCATTGAGTCCATTTGTTTACTGTATTTCATTCTTTACTTGCATATGTTGAACTACCTGTGTATCCTAGGAATGAAGTCAACTAGATCATAGTAAATAACCTTTCTGATGTATTACTAAATTTACTTTGCCAATATTTTACTGAGAATTGCCTCCATGTTCATCAAGAAGATTTGCTTATAACTTTGTGTGTGTGTCTCTAGTATTAGCATCAGAGTACTGCCAGCTTTGTGAAAGTTCTGGTATCACTCCTTCTCTTTCTGCTTTATGGAGTAGTTTGAGGGCCACTGGTGTCTGTTTTATTTGAGGTCTGATAGTATACTACAGTGAATCCATGTTGGCATGGACTCTAATTATTAGGAAGTTTTTCTTACTATTTCAATCTCATTCTAGTATAGAATTCTTCGAGTTGTTTGCATTCTCTTATTGAACATTGTAAAAAAAAGTCATGATTGTCTATGAAATTATCTATTTCTTTTATATTTCTCAACTTACTGGAATATAGTTTTGAGGCATGCCTTAATGATCCTTTAAATTTCATTTGGTGTTTAATGTAACGTTTCCTTTTTATCTTTATTATATTAATTTGTCTTTCTCTTTTTTTAATTAGTTTAGCTAATTTTCTTCCTGTTGTTCATTTTTAAAGTCTTACTTTTTCATTGACTGTTTGCCTTGTTCTTTCCTTTTCCAGCTTTAATCTTTATTTTCCCTTTTTAATACTTATTTCTTGGAAACATCATATATGAATAAATTGTAATTTTGTTCAATAGATGCACTCTCTCACTTCCAATGGCTCCTGGACTCTTATACCATGTCTTCTTCCCAACTTCATAATTATTTCACAATTTATCCTCCTTCTCCTTCCTCTCTTTGTCCTTTTCCTCCCTTCCTTTCTTTTTCTCCTCCATAAACCCAGAGTATAGACAGTACTGTGCATATGCATATGTGTTTAAGCATGGGCAAACAACCATGGACAAACTCTTCTGACAAAAACTAACCCTAACTCAGCAGCCATCCCCTGACAAAAGCTCCTTTGCTCTTCTAGCCCACAGCTCTAAATCCTTCCTAATGTCTTAAAGCTTAGACCGACATATTCAGGGATCTCAAGTAATGACCTTATTTTTTGGACCAATTTCTGGTGTCATTTCCTCTTTCTGCCACTTGGCAAAATGCACAACAGAAACAACACAATGGATGATTTCAGCTCATGATTCAGGAGCTACCATCCATCATGGTAGCAGGGAGGCATATACCTGAGACAGCTGAACCATGGCAGTGTGACATGGGCTCATGGATGTTTTCTTCCTGAGGGATCAAGAACTGTTTAAGGAACAGATGTGGATTCTACCAAAATCCCACATCTTCTCTTGAGACTTTATCTCCAAAGGTTGACATGCCTCCATCTAGTGCTAAAGTATTCAGATAAAAGAGTCTCTGGGAAAAACCCAGGTAACACACACAGAGACATAAAGACAAATTTATGCACAGGTACACATAGATTTGCACACAGACCCTCTCACACGAATAAGCACATACACATATGCACACACAGAAACAGAAGTATACACATAATCACATATACACAGACATGCCCCCAAATTCACAGTAACACAGAATTATGCACAGGCACACACAAACATAATGTAGGTACAGATATGAACACACATACACTGATCTGTTGACACATAGAGACAGGGACACATCTAGGCACATTGTGCACTCATTGACACAGATACTGACATGGAAAGATAGACATTCACTTGTCCACACAGGTAGAAATAGACTGGTGCACTCTTACATATAGCTGCACAAAGACACATACAGATGCAAACATACACACTGCATGAGTCAGGGTTCTCTAGAGTCACACAACTTATGGAATGACTCTCTCTCTCTCTATGTATATATATACATATATTACATTATATATCATATAAACATACATATACATATACATATATATATATATTATATGGAATTTATTGTGATGACTTCCAGGCTACGTCTAATCAACAATGGCTACCTGTGAATGGAAAGTCCAAGAATGTAGTAGTTGCATAGTCCCACAAGGCTGGGTGTCTCAAGTGGTCATCTGTATATGCTGGAATCCCAGAGAAGTGGGGTCCAATGCCAGTGAAGAAATGGATGTACTGACAAGGCAAGGGCCAGCAGGTGAAGAATCCTTCCTTCTTCCATTGTCTTTATACAGCTTTCATCCAAAGGGGTGGCCCAGATTAAAGATGTGCCTTCCTGCCTCAAAATCTGGATTAAAGGTGTGTGTCATCCTGTTTCAAGATCCAGATCAAAAGCCTGTGTCTTCCAGACTCAAGATCTGGATCACAAGTATGCCCTCCATTTCTGGATTATAGTTTATTCAAGACAATGACCAAGAATAGGCATCGCACAAACACACACTGACACACACTTCCACCAAGTGGGACAATGAATTTTCTCTGTGGTTTGAAAGGGAGGGGAGAAGTGAAGACTGGGGATGCATGAGAGGCTTCATTCTATGGCCTGACTCCAGTTTTCTCTTGGAGTGTAGAGAGAGGAAAGGCAGCTGATCTAAGAACAGCTGAATTAGATTCGGGGATGTTGTTGGAGCTCAACTGCTGGGTGGCTGGGGACCAACAGTGAGGTTATTGATTACAAGCGAGGTCTACAGGTTTCTCATGAGTCTAATGTGGAAGAGAAGACAGGGGACAGGGGCCAGGGTACTGGAGGGAGAGGGCACAGCTCAGTTCTCATGGGGCTGTGACTGCAGAGCACAGTTGTGTGTCCAGTATTGCTATGTGAAGAAATGGCTGTGCTTGGATCTGGGAGTTCTGAGAGAGATGGGGAGGTATGAGGTATGGAGGCTCCCTTTCTGGTGGGAATGGGGCCTGTCCACGAGAGGGTGGGAACACAAAAACCCTAGTTATATTTCTGTCTCTGAATTCTCAGGCAGAACTTGACTCTGATAACATTCTCCCCACTGACAGGCTTCCTAGGAATGAGCGAAGACAGAGCCAAGTGTCTCTTACAGAGATTGTCACCTCCTCTCAGAGCTGTTCCCCTTCCTCTTTCCAGACTCTGAGGGAAATTGAGAGTTAGGGCACTGACTTAAGTCCCCAGAAGTCCCCACCTTTTATTATCCTCACTTCTATGTCACAAAAAAGGTCCAAAGAAAACAGTGCAATTAGCACACAGCATGGATGGAGCCTTTGTTCAGGTGAGGTGGGGGTGTCTGGCACCTGGGATAGGATAAATGTGCTTCTAGAGTCCAGGTAGACAGAGGCGCCATGGCAACAATGCAGCTGTTCCCGCTGACCATAGGCCTGACCCTGCTCTCTGTGGTGCATGCAGGCTACATTAATCAGGGTGAATGTGCCACAACAGACAAGGTAAGATCTCTGGGACGTCTGAAGGTGGGGACCAGATTTTCAGGATCATGATGCTGGACTGAGTGAGAGTCTGGGTTTAATGATGGATTCTGGTGGGCTACCTCATGTTATGAGCTAGGGTTTGTCTTCCAACATGGAGTTTTCATGTTTTCTGCCAGGTAGTTGGTACCCACAGAAAAAGTCATGGGTTATGGAGGCAGCTCTCTGGCTTTTCTGCCACTCAGAAACCTACCGCCTCCCTCTGTCAGTCATGGGCTCCAAAGGACCTTCTTTTAACCACACATAAAATGACACATCAGCATTTCTTCAGTTCAGGGATAGCACTAACTAGGAGTAAGTTTTTGGGAGAACATGAAAACTCCAATCCTTAGAGTAGTCCCTGACAGTGGAAGAAGGCAAGGACTGGACCCCAGGAGGAAGACCAGGTGGTATGGGTATGGTCATCAGTAATCCAATATTCAGTGGGTGTGTGGTGGTATTGTCCACCCATGACCAGTCATTTCTGATCTCTGTCCACTCCACCCCCCAGCCTTATCCTGTAGGTAACTTTTCTATTCCTTCTGAGTGATCTGTGCAGTGTCATGACTGTATCCACTCCCAAGAACATCATCTCCCAGGAGACCCCTGCCTTACCTTGCCTAGAAGAGACTTTCAGTGATACAGAGGGGCTGGCTATGACCTTACAGTCTTCTCTGAAGTGCTTCCCATATACCTCCTGCATCTGCTCCCACTTCAGCTACAGCCTAAAAACCTTTTCCTGGCTCTCCCTCTCCCTCCTGACTGCCTCAGCAGTTGACTTCCCTCATCTAGCTTCTAGGAAACTGGTACATAATTCGCTGGGCAGGAAACCTTCCCCTCCCAGAAGAAAAGCTGAGAAGCCCACTGCCACCCTTCACATTGTCTAAAAACAGAATTGGTTACTTGGAGTTCAGGATGAACATCTCGTGAGTACTTACCCTCCTGCTTTATGCTTGGCTCTTGGCTGTATGATCTCCTCACTCTCACCACACATATGCTCTTAACTTCAGCTGGACAGAGGATGTGAACACGGAATCCTCTTGTCCTGTCTAGGCAATGTGTCAGGTGACTTCTGTAGCTGCAGGAGAGATGTTCCCAGGAACATTGTGCTTAGCACAGGAGACCCAGGGTCCAACTTGATGCATTCTGTACTGTTGCACACTGTGTGAATGACAGGAACTTCCAAGCATAATGCTGTTGTCTCTTGGAGAAACCAATGTGGACAGCACTCACTTCTGGGTAGGGAGGGAGTCTCTGGTTCTTCAGGATTTCAGTGGATTCTGAAGCCAATGAAGAGCCTGGGGGATCATGGTCATATTCAGGATTCTGTCATCTGGAAGAGGCCTTTGGCGAAACATTTGGAGACAAAGGCATAGCCTGGCCTCCTCATGGAAAATGTTCTGGGGTAGATTGCTGGAAACACTCTCCTTAACTCCAAGTATGGGTTGGCCACTGGTTCTGCCCCTCTCTGTATCTCTGTTTTTTGTGCTTGTGTGAAATAGAGCACAGAAGATGGGAGCTTGGAATGCCAGGCCTGGGGCTGGGGCTGGTTGCTGTATGTATGGGGGGGGGCTTACCTCCTCTTTGTTGGGCACTGGGATGGGAGAAGAAAAGAATGGGACAGGTGTGAAGGAGATAATCCCACATCTGCCCTGTGTCCAGGAGTCCCATTGGATGTGTTGAGTTCAAGATGGCCATGAATGAAGAAAAAGGCAAGCCTTGTTTTTTCACACTCTGTAAGTGTTTATATTTACATTGTCTCATTTCACAGACTCTTTTGGGGACATCCTTATATGTACATAGCTTGTTCTTTGTCTGCAGGGATGTGGCACTATGTTCGCATAGTATTCATTGGAGGGGAGAACTTCGGTTTCGCCTACTTAAATGGCATAACGAATGGTGTACCACAGAAAATGGGAATGCTCATGGGTGCGTCCTTCCCTGCCTCAGTTTGTGGGTGTTGTCATGACTTCCTGAGTCACTGGGTATAGAGTTATTGTTTGATTCCTTCTCCCCTATTTCTAGATCTGGCCTGAGGGTCATTGCTGTGATTTCTGGTTCTTTGGGACAGAGATTTGTTAGCCCTCTCATCCTCCACCTTCAGATGAGAACTTGTGATATCTAGGACCCACATCCAAGCCCCATTCATCCACCCTTATATCCTTCCTTCCCTCTCAATCAACCCATGGTGCAGTCCTGTTCTGAGCAGGGATGTAGGTGGGATCATTTGTCAGTGGGTATATTACTTGTCCCCTGTAGACCTGTGATCTCATTAGGGTAGCAGGATTGGGGTACCAGAATCCAGTGCCATGATACCAGAGCCCTGGTCAACACTCTGTTGTTCACAAGATGCTCCCCTTTTCCCAGATAGTTCTGAGGTCATAAAGTCCACAGCTTACCACCAATTTAAAAGGAAAGAAGGGACAGATAAATGAACAGAGACTCATTTTTGGCTTTGTTCACTGCTGGGGAGAACAAACCTTATAATTCCTCTGTCTTTCATTCAGAAAGTTTACAGCTTACAGAAAGGACTAGAAAGGATGGGGTGTTGGCTTTGTGGCCAGGAGCACTTTCTCTGCAAGTGCTAGGGCCTGACTTCCAACGCCCAGCACTAACATGCAATGCTGGCCACAACTGAGCATACTTGTTACCTTCACTCCAGCTAGCAGAGTCAAAAAGAGGGGTTTTTCACATCCATTTAGAGACTCTCTGTCAAGACAGTGATGTGGAGAGACATACTATTGTCCTTTGAAGAGTGCATGAGTATGTACTGGTACACACACACACACACACACACACACACACACACACACACACACACACACACACACACACTCCACACTAAAGAGGAGCCAGAAATTAAACATGTATAGATTTAGCTGTGTGACAGATCAATCATGTCCTGGTGAAAGCAGATATCCTGGGCCAATGTCCTAGACTGTCTCTGTTCTCACAGATGACACACTGTAGACATTGTAGACACTTATGTACCCAGGAGTGTATATTGTTCCAAAGTATCCAGTGCTGGCTGGACCTGTGAACTGCACCTACCATCATCAACAACTCCTGAGACCTTGTCCCTTTCCTGATCCCTGCAGCTTTCACCACATTTCAAAACACTGCCAGCATTCTCCTGAAACTCTGTTCTTAGAATCCTTCTTGTAAAGGGCTCCCACTGGCCTGTCTTTCTTGCTCTACTCCAGCATTTGTGAACATCCTCCCTTCTTACCCCTGCCCTCAACATCTCTAGGCACTGTGACTATGAGAGCCTAACAGGGTCTTGGGAGGTATCTCAGCCTAGACAAGGAGACCTCAATAGAAACAACCACTGATGCCCACTGGCCCCAACTTCACATTGTAACCAAGGACTCTAGGGGATGTGATGCTATTCAGACCCTGTTGGTGTCTCTAGCTTACCACTTAACTTGCCAATATAAAAAATATCACCATCACCCTGGACAAAGGAGGAGCCCAGTGCATAGCTGGCCCTCCTCCAGCATGTATTTTGGAGGCAGAGGATGGACTACTGATGGGCTTATTGTATGATAGTGTCCTGCTAACAGGACCTGGGGACAGAACAAAGGCAGAGAGGTAGTCAGTCATTGGTGGATACCTCCTCTTCTACCTCATGCTGCCCAAGCTGTCAAACTCAATATTTCCCTCAAGGAAGAAGGGAGGAAAGAGGGTCTGGGTGTCCCTGGGTTTAGGGTGTACCTGTGGGAGGAATTTTGCATTTGTCCTCTGTCCTCCATGGATGAGTGACTGGGAACCTTCATAAGAAGACATTGAAGAAGGACCCACTAGGTGCTCCAGTATCACAGAACTATGTGCTCAGGTGGTTCTTGTCTCAAATAAGAGGTCAACTTCATTTTCTCTTGATTGCTCCCATGTGGTTGGCATGCTTCTCAGAGAGTTTGGCATGAAAACACCCCGGCTGTTGCTTGAATCTACGTATGTCACAGAAGATCCCTCGAGGAATTTGTGTGTGACCTATCTGTAATGAGATTCCTTCCCAGCACTTCTCACCATCCTCATCTGGCCTGCAGGTCGCCGTAATCATACTGCAAACCCAACGCTGCTAAAGGATTTTGAAACTCTTGTGATTCAACTGTCATTGAATGAAACAAGCATCATCAACCCTCCTTACGATGGTAATAAGAAAGCTTTTGCTAAATCTCCTTCCCTTCCAGTCATGATTTCCCTGTAACACAGTGGCCATGCCCACCCTCTCCAATTTCCATTTTTCTGGGTCTACAAATAGATTCCTGTGAACCGGGCAAAGAGTCCTAGTGCACAGATGGATCCATGCAGAGACTACACAGGAACCTGGTACTGGGACCTTCTTCCCTCTGTAGCAGCAGACAGAACTCCGGTGTCAAGAGAGATAGGGCTTCCCACCCACACTCACACCTCTTCAGGCCTCTGCTTTCAATAAAAGTGATAGTTCCTGGATCTATGTGTCCAGAATGATTCTTTGTTCTCCAACTCTCTGGTAATCAGGTATAGAGTGACACTCAATCCTGACCTTGATTGTCAAGAAGAAAGGACTTCATGTTCACAGTTCTCCAGGCCGGTGGCATGCCATAGCACACAGAGTCAATGGGCTCAGCAGTGGGCAGTTGCTCAGAGGGGCAAGGGCAGGAGTCTGGATGGTAACCAGTGAAGGTAGAAGAAGTTGAGCAGGGTTACGGGGGTGCAGGTGTATGTTGGCTAATGAGGGTCACTGCAAGTACCCAAGTTCTCAGTACAGCCCTGATGTTCTACCTCTTGTGATGGATGTTGGCCCTGTTTTGAGGCCATAGAGCAGCATGGCTGTGGTCTCTGTATGTGTGGAAGATGAAGCTTGATACTGAGACATTTACCATCTGGGTGTTAGCTTACTTGTAGTCACCTCCTGCAGGAACAAAGAGGCCTAGAGGCTAGAACACCAAAAATGCAAACCAGAGGCCAAGCCCAAACAGATAGATGGGGAAAATTCACTCCACATATCCATCAAAGATCCATAAACTAGTGTTCAGCCTTTTCAGATATAATAGTCTGTTCTTCTGATGCTATTCACATACAAAATGCAATCAGACCCTTCATGGATCATCTTCCCAAACTCCATGGCATCAGGAGGCTTTGAGGAAAGGACTCAAGTGGGCTTGAAGTTGGTCTGTGGATTAACTTCCTGAGGACTAGGCCACTCTGAGCTGATATGTGTGCTGAGAAAAGTCAGTGCATCTGCCCCTTCCCTCTTGTGCAGTGCTAGGCAGTGACTGTCAATCAGAGGATGTGTTCCTTGGAGGAGGGAAGGGAAGAGAGGAACTCAGAGGACCCAACTCCACTCCAGGATGAACTCCAGTCAACCTTTAACATTCTATCTATTCTCAAGCACTTCTTGATATGAAGAGATCGTGCTAGTGTGGGGATGGATTACACAGAGTGGAAGGGAGTGGATGGAAACACAGGTGAGGGTCTGAAGATGCAATTTCCTTCTATGAGGATCTCTGGACATATTTGATCTTGATGGTTTCTTGAGAACCACAGCTGCCCTCATAATGGTGGTGGGTGTTATACTTGGGGAACAACACTTCATAACAGGCCTTCCCAGGAGCTCTGCATCCTCCTCTGCCATGTAGGAAGCAGGTACTTAGCTCATTCCTCTGGATCCTTGTCATAACAGAACTCCCCAGGGACTATGAGCCTCCTAGAGGCTCATCCAATTGGGAGCTGTGCTACATAACCAAAGGCCCTTTGCACCCCACATCTGGGGTGAGAATACTTGTGTTTGGTCTTTGGGCATTGGGACAGTGGGTGTGGATCTTGATTGGTGCCCTGAGTATCCCTACACACTGGAAGATACTGTGAAGCTAAGCTGGTCTTGTTCCACTGAGAGAACACAGACCATGGGATGGAGACACTGGCAAGATGGACCCTGTTCATACCAGCCTCTGACAGAGTGGAATAGGCTTTGTCCTCAGAAGGGTTTCACCAAGCCTGGATGCAGGGACAGGATTCATATATATTGAAGAGATGCCCCTTGGGAGCCAGCAGAGGCTGAGATCTCTGCTTTGAAAACTCACTGGAGGTCTTTCCTGGATCAGGGTGTGTTATAAGGAGGAACACATTTTAGTAGCTATCCACAGTGATCTCAGGGAAACATGAGGCCTCCTCTGGGGTGAAACCCCAATATAGGGAACAGGTTGGGAGTCTGAGTCACAGGGTGGCTTGTCTGAAGTACAGGGTGGTGGTGCGGTAGATCTAAGGGCCACTGGGTATGTAGTTGGTTTGTTAGGCTCCATGTATGATGACAGAGTTGTGGTGCTCCAGAGCACAGTGTCTCTTATTCTGGGGCAATCAGAGCTGTGTGTCTGGTCCCAGAGTGTGAGAGCAAACATGGCTGTGATTGGGGTTGGATGCAATAGCTGCTCAGAACACAGAGGAATTACTGGCCTCCTCCAGATGTCTCCTCAAAGCAGGGTCAACAAGTGATGTTTACACAATCCTATTCCATTGGCTCTACCATACATACTTTGAGAACAGAACTTTTCTGGAAGCAGAAACTTTTAGCTAATGATGTATGATTTACATTCATGTAACTGGATCAAAAAGACTTTTTTGGGAAGTGTAAAAAGCAATAAAAAAGAATGCATCTTGGCCAATATGGGATACCCAAGGCTCTTCTCTGGGAGACTATAATAACATCTAGTGTAATGATCTGTCCACAGGGCACCAAGATCCCTTCAGGAGCTCGAAAACCATGCAAACTGAACAACCTTTCATATGGCTTCAGTTCTCTTTGCCCACTTCTAGACGCTACCAACTATAGCTAAGAACCCAGGCAGGCAGCCTGGCTAGGAAGGTGCCAAGAACACTCTGAAGTCCAAGGGGAAACCTGTAGGGCAGGTAGGGCAGTGCCAGAGACCACGCCTGGGTAGCAGTTTGTGTGGCTATTAGAAATGACAGAGCTATGGAATACCTGAAAGAGAGAAGGTGCGCCCCCAGAGGCTCACACCAGAGAGAACATCCAGCTCACATGGAGAAATACAAGATCTTGAGGAAGGGAAGGAAGAACCTGAAAACTGCAGTGGAAGTTGGATAAAGCCACCCAGAAGGTAGATGTTCCAGCCCTTTGAATCTTCTCTATCTCTTGCTATCTTTTCATTTACTGCATTTTTATTTGCTTGTTCTTTTTGTCTAAGACAATGAGTTATGCCCCCACCATGACAACACACTTCCCTTGTCTCTATTTTATTCACTGTAAAAGCCGTGGTCCACAAATCACCCTTGTTTGCTCTACCCTTTCTCTAATCTGGTCTCTGGCTATCTGCCATTCCCTGCCTGCCATGTTCTCCATCTCCCTTGCCTTCCAGTCAGTCCTGTTATAGCCAGGCTCCCTCTGCCCCTTGCAGGCCCCACTGAGTGTTCCTCCCACCTGGAGCCCTCTTCCACTTCCTCATTCATGTCTCATTCCCTTCACTAACTTCTATTATGTGTTTAAATGGCCCTTTGTGCAGCTAACCCAGACAATTCCATTTAATCCACAAACCCTAGCCTAGCCATATAGTCACAGTCAACCTTGTTCATTTGGGGCTTCCTCATGGCATGTTCCACTCTTGTAATAGTATATAATTAAGTAATCAGGAGACAGGAGCACACAGCAGACTGAGCAGGGATAGTGAATACACTGAACACTGAACAACACAGTGTGAAGAGAGGTAGGGACACTAACTGAGGGTTGCAGAAAATCACTGGAGGAAACCATTTTGTTCTGGGTTCCACCATGATGAATAAAGTCAGGAACCTCAGTCAAATTACTTGTCAGTTCTCATTTTGTTTTAGACTCATTGGATCCTTCCACAGAGACAATCACACCATCCACATACAGGGTGTTATTTCTTCCTGTAAATCTGGATATCTTTTATTTCCCCTTTTAATTATAAGTATTTAGTTGGAACTTTCTGCATGGTGTTGCATGTACACAGGGAGAGTGGGCATATTCACTTGTCCTAGAAGCTGCAGAAAGTGCAATGTCGCACAGTAGGAATGACAGAAGCTGCAGATCTTTGGTAGAAGCTCTTTATTAACGTAAGTATGACTCTTCTTCAGACAGTTCTTATCCAGAATCTTGTCAAATGACTTTCCAGCACTGATTGATTGACATGACACAGAATTTTTCTACTTAATTTTTAAAATGGTTGGTTGTTTTTTAAAGGCAGAATCTAATGTAGTGCAGGCTATTCTTAAACTCTGTATGAAACTGAGGCTGAGTATATACCATGTTTGTCTTTCTGAGTCTGAGTCTCACTCAGCATGATTTTTTCTAGTTCCATCCATTTGCCTGCAAACCTCATGATATCACTGGTTTTCTCTGTTGAGTAGTACTCCATTTTGTATATGCACCACATTTTATTTATCCATTCTTCAGTTGAAGGGCATCTAGGTTGTTTCCAGGTTCTGGCTATTACAAATAATCCTGCTATGAACATAGTTGAGCATGTGTCCTTGCGGTATGATTGAGCATTCCTTGGGTATATGCCCAAGAGTGGTATAGCTGGGTCTTGAGGGAGGTTGATTCCCAATTTTCTAAGAAAACACCATATTGATTTCCAAAGTGGCTGTTCAAATTTGCATTCCCACCAACAGTGGAGGAGTGTTCCCCTTGCTCCACATCCTCTTCAACATAAGCTGTCTTCAGTGTTTTTAGATGTAAAGCAAAGGATAACCAGACTGCAACTCACAACTCCAGGGAGGCTACCTAGTAAAGAGGACCCTGAGAAAGACACAGGGATTGCCCAATGACAGAGAAATGGATGAGATCTACATGAGCAAACTGGGGGTGGGGGGGTAATGGAGGGCAAGGGTTGGGAGAAAGAGAGCTTAGGGGAGCGGGTGGTCCCAGCTGGATCAGGATCAGAGTGGGAGAATGGGGAGGGAGATACCATGATGAATGAAGACCCCAGGGGAATAGGAAGAAGCAGAGTGCTAGAGAGGTCCTCAGAAATCCATAAAGACACCTCCACTGTAGACTACTGGCAATGGTCAATACCTCCACTATAGACTACTGGCAATGGTCAATACCTCCACTGTAGACTACTGGCAATGATCAATACCTCCATTGTAGACTACTGGCAATGGTCAATACCTCCACTGTAGACTACTGGCAATGGTTGAGAAAGTGCCTGAGCTGACCTGCTCTTGTGATCGGATGGCCAAACACCCTGGTTGTCATGATAGAACTCTCATCCAGTGTCTGATGGAAGTGAATGCAGAGATCCACGGCCAAGCCTCAGGTGGAGCTTCAGGAG